GAAGAAAAAGCTCGTTTCTGGGGTTTTGAAAAGGAGCTGACCTAAGGTAAGCAATTCTTTTTAGTTTGGGAGAAGCGTCATTGCTGAGCCAATTGAATTAGTAACAGGGTGAGGTGTGATGCTGTGTTTTCATTTAAGCCACAGACGTTGGAACTGGTTTTCTTACCTGATGTATTAAACGTTAAGATGAGGACAAAGCATGGACCTTTGAATAATGCCCTTGTGCGGCTGCAACATGAAAAACTTTTATTTGAAGTATTTCGTCTTCTCATTCAAACTCTGAATGATAAAAGTATGATATAGTGAGATTAAAAAAACACAAGAACTGAGTCTTCATAGTAGCATTGGTGGTTACACTCAAAAGAAAGACTTTGCATTTTGTGTCCTTTGAAGAACAGATACTTTGCAATATTTGTTTTACTTTTGGCCCAGGATCTGTAGTACATACTTGGCTGTTCCTGTTGTTATAGGAGGAGATCACCCATCTGGTGGTTGCTGTGTGAAATATAGTCCATTATAGGGCTGCATGATTTATCAAAAGACATATCGTTATCGCAATATTGGTGTGTGCAATATCCATATAAAAATATGCACAATTAAAACATATGTATGCATATATATATATATAATTTTTTTGTTTTTTTGTTTTTTTTTCCTTTATTAAAGACAACAAAACAGACAGACACATCAACATTCAACAAATACAACAAACAAATAAACAAACAAAAAAGTATATAAATATATGCATTTGAAGGTCATTAATGTTTTTTTTATTTATCTCTTGCGGTTCAATGCAGATTGCAATTTTAGGTGAAAGGAAAAAATATTGCAATAATATTGTTATCACGATACTAAACACTCATATCGAATATCTCTCTAATTTCCAATATTGTGCAGCCTTATGGTGCTTTCAGACCGGATCATGCGTTGCGTCGGGTTTCAATGCAAAGTCTATGGTGGCGCACGTTCGACCGTCACAACGCACGGACCTCTCGGCACAAACGGACTGTTCAATAATGAAGCACGGACTTGGCGGGAAAGTCAAAGGGAGGAGCAGGAGCGAAAAATGAACGCCCACAGGAGATGGATTCTGCTCATCCTTTCCTTGGGACGTTCGTGCGACAACCAATCAGAGAGCAGCAAAGTGGTCACGGGGACATTAGCGGACTGAGCGAGCAGACTGAAAATACTGTAAACAGCCAAAACTGGCAGACTGCCCAGCTGGTTGAATGAAGTTGCAGACAAAATAACTTAAATAATTAAAAGCATCTGTAGTATTTGTTGGTACTCTGTATGGCTGTACTTTATGTATTTGGGCTCAGTTTGTCCAAAAGGCACAACTCGAACAGAAAGCTCCCAGGCCCAGAGCTGGAGGAGGCTATAAACAGGAGACATTCTGAGCCATATTTGTATGTGTTTATGGAGACGTGTCGGAGCCGATGGCCTTATATAGGAATGTTTGGGGAAAATGTGCAGTCATGCCAGCAACGCCATGTCAGACGTTAGAAGGAACAATAATGTTTTAATTTAATCTACATGGTGTGTATGTGTCCCCAGATAATAGCTTGCCATGTACTCATCATATTCGACCTTATCTAAACAAAAGTTCAAAGTGGATTTATTATTAACGCTGTTGTACCTAATTTTTTATTTTGTGTTTGGGGGTTGTTAAACCAAACAAAAAAAGAACGATATATATCTATACATGATCACACACATAAAACACTCCTGCATATAATCATCTAGGCATACATATTTATTATATTTATATTATATGTCTATGTATGAGCTTTCATGTGAATAAATTGCATAGACATACTTTATGTAGTGTTTAAAATAAGATAAAATGTTTTCTAATGAGATAAAGACAGCAAGTGGGGACCTTATTTGTCCACTATGAGGTTTTCAAAGAGATGTCTCTCATTTGTGTTACCAGTTTCTGCATCTTTTTAATAACAAAAACTAAATGATAGCACCACACATTATTCAAATAAAAGCAGGTACAAAAACAAGTAGTCATACATGATACACAGAGTTTGTGAACTCTAGCATCTAACCCCTTTAAGTTTCCATCAGGTGCTCCTTTCAACTGTAGCAAAGCTTAGGAAGGTCATCTGTGCCAAATGTTTCTCATGCAAGTTTAAAACTTTCATGCTGGCTTTATTGTCTACATCCTGATACTAGACTTCAGTATTGCAGTGATCCCTCAACCTTTTAGGGCTCATTGTTTCACAGATTTCCCCGTAGCCCCCTGCAGCTGTATTTTACAGTGTGTGCACAGCTTTTGACAGCTGCAGCAGCAGACCTACAACCAACACGTTTGATGTTTCTGTGATCGCACTTCAGCAGTTGTGAGTTCAGGTGGTTAGAAAAGTGTATTAAGTGTGTGGTGAGGGTTAGGATCTCACTTATTGTATGTTTTTTTTAGAATGTAACCCCCTTGATAAATGAAGGACCACTGTCTAACCTATCGACTAACCAACATTGTCAGTAGCGTTGGCACTTTTGTATTTCAGTCCGATACTATATCTCCATGGCTGGCTTGTATAACGCTAAGAGAGAGAGAACATGCACCTTTTTTTCTGCACCTTTTATAAGACTGGGAAACATTCGTAACACTATCTACCTTTTTCTCTGCTACATCAATGCACTTTGTTCCTCTCTCAAACAACTTGCAGAGTTCTGGCTGGACGAGAAACGCAATCTCTCGAAGCCAAAACCTGATCTCTTCCAACAGCTCGTTCCAACAGAATGGCTGGTTTCCATCTGGGCCAGACCAGGAGCCAAGGGGGCATTGTTCCTTCAGAAAACAGCAAGTCTGTCCTGCCATTTTCTGTGAGCTGCATTGGGAGCGATATAAAAGCAATTGGAACTCCTTGTTGTTTGATCGCACTGTGTCCGATTGTGAAGCCTGCGAGCGCGTTGACGTCTCTTGTGGAATACGCCGTCAAGAAAATCCAAATTACTTTTTGGTTAGGCTGTATGCAGTCGCTACAGTAATGCAGACATAAAGTCATGCTGCTGAGTAGAGAGGGAAAATTAGTTTGCCACCTTTTCTCCTCCAGTCTTGAACCCACAAATTTTGTAAAGGACCTTGGTGTCATCATAGATCTAATGTGTTTTTTTATCCTTTCATTTCCTGCATATTAACTGTTTGATTCTCTGATCTGTGAAAGTAACATTTCAACGCATGTTCATCTGTGTAGTAAACGTGAATGTGCAAACAGAGGGCTAACAACAGAAGGCTCTCAGGGCTCTCGCAAATGGACGTGAAGTGGTGACAGAGATGAAGAAGATACGGGACATTTGTTTGAATCTTATCAGGGAACTGGAATTAAGAGGCCGATATGAGCGCACCTGTATCGGCCAAAACTCCAAAAGACTAGAAAAAATATATCATATTACACACGTCCTTCCACTGGCTCCAGTTCAGGCCTGGATTGACTTAAAATCTTTTGCTAGCTTGCTTTTAGTGCCCTCCACAATCTGGCGTCGTCATATATTTCTCATCGACTCCTGCCTTATGAACCATAATGCTCCTTGTAAATGGAACACTACCTAATGATTGGGTAGGGTTAGGGTTTGATGTTAATATTTTCCCCCAGGGCAGCTGTGGCTACAGTAGTAGTTTCTCACCACTGTGTATGGAGTGAAAGAATAATGTGTAACATGTAAAGTGTCTTTGAGTGTCCAAAAAGTGGTACATAAAAATGCATTATTATTATTATTATTGTCTAGATTCGAGATAATGTCCACTATCCTTTGTCTGCTTAGCCTTGTTTCTAGTGCGGAATAAGTCATCACCAAACCAAGCGATTTATGTTTGCCATCTATCCCAGGCTTGCACGCTACAACACGACGGCGTTGTATTGCTTTTTAATGAAGTTAAAATGCATCCACGCCCCTATGTTATGATCCGTGTTGAAAAGGCCATTACCGGGACAAATTGGACTGGAACCAGATGAGACAACTGAAGACATGGAAGTCCTTGGTTAGGGCAAGGCAGCGCAGAGCATTTGTAATTACGCGCTGATTATGTGCGCCACGAAGTCCCCGGGGGTGAGGCATTCTGCTCATGCTGCCAACGGTATCAGTCACGCGGGCAGAGCTCTCGCCACGGCGGCCAAGACCCGTCATCACCGGCAGAAGAACTGCTCCTAATGTTCACCTAAGGACAACCGCCATGGCGCCGTGTGAGATCAAAGAGAAGGAGCATTGGGAATGTTTTCTGCTGTTTATTTACAATCTGTGACATCATTGGTCATTATTGTATATTTTTGTACGGGTATTAGGATTTTCACATAGATTTCACAACAACAAAAAGCAGAGAACATCTTCCATTTTCCCCCCATCAGTAAGCAGGCGTGACGTGGCCTGTGTCGTTGCTTCAGCTCGAGTCTTTCACACATTCCGGGGTTAACTGGGTCTTGCTGCATGCGGCTCATGTTCCGTCTGACATGTGAAGATAACCAGGGAGTTTGAAGTGTCCATGATGGATGTCTTCTGCTGCTTGTGTGCAAAGCAGGAGATAATGGGAGCCACGGAGCAGAGGCTCACACCGCTAATAACTAGAGCTGTCAGGCGGACGTGACTGGACAGGACACGTGTTGTTTGGGCTTTTCTCTCCTCTGACGCCCACCACATGCAACCAATTCTGTATGGGGCGTTAATTAAGGCTGAAGTACCCAACTTTTTTGTTTAATAAATAATGTATTCTTTGTCCCAACAGAAAGAGTCCTGTGAAAGTAAAATGTTGTGAACAAATCCAACCACAAGATGCTTTCTTCATCTTATTATAAATCATGTTATCTTTTGCATACGAGTGAAGTAAGTTATTGCAGAGTTATTGTTTGACTGGTTGGGCTGGTTGGGCTGCTGGGCCAAAAAGCTGCACTTTTTGGCCTAACAAAGTCAAACTGACAATGTGTCATTGTTGGATAAAGTTTATTCTCATGCCTGAAATGACTATGTACCAGAGATAAATAACTCTGAGCGTGATGCTACGTAACCGAGAGGGCGGGGGTAGGCGGGTGAGGGCGGGGGGAGGCGGGTGAGGGCGGGGGGAGGCGGGTGAGGGCGGGGGGAGGCGGGTGAGGGCGGGGGGAGGCGGGTGATGGCGGGGGGAGGCGGGTGAGGGCGGGGGGAGGCGGGTGAGGGCGGGGGGAGGCGGGTGATGGCGGGGGGAGGCGGGCTCACAGACAGAGGAGCAGGCTCTGAATCAGCTCGTTTGCGTAGAGGTGACGTCACCTGTAATCTCACAAGTTTTGTGTGTTGTGTGGTGCATCACTCACAGGATTATCACACATGTGCATAGGACTGACTGTGAACATGAAGAAAAGCCTAATATGGGACCTTTAAAGTGTTGGAAAAGACCATGGTTTAATAATGCCTTTTGACATTTAGGCCCATTTGATGATGACATGAAAATCTTACATATTGGTACTTTAAGTAGTGATTTAACATTCTAGAATGAAAGAATGCATCATACGTGTTCTTTAACGCTGCGGAGAGTCTACTTTTCGCTTTGGTCCATCTAGTTTAGATGCTTGGAATGTTTTTTTCTTCTTACGCTTGGAAAGTTTCACAGTATGCCATTAAACATTCCATCTGACAAGCAAGTGACTTCATTAGGCCAAGTTATGAATCATATCTGTGAAGAGGTATGAATTACATTTTTAGGCAGAAAATCATCTGCAATTAGTTTATGTACAATTCCCAAATACCAAGGAGCACTCAAAGAAAAGTATGCATTACTCGGACTTAGAACATTAATTAAATTTTTTTAATGTAGGGGAAGGCGTTTATAAGTATTTTTTACTTCTGCTTACTACTTTGGAGCTCTATTCAGTGCTTAAGTCTTTTTTGTTGTATAAACTATGCATTGCTCTGAGCTCAAATTAACAATCTGAACTGAAGTGAACTGAAGTCAATCATAGGGAGGTAAAGATGATCATGTTAATCCATAGTTGTGATCATTCAGCTCTCAGTATAACTGAACAAACTGCCAGATAGTATCTGTGATAATGTAAGGACTGACGGCGAGTGGCCCTGTAAGCCGACTCCGACTGCCTCGCCTCGTCCCAAGCCTCAGTAAAAGCCCAGACAGACAGCTGCAGCGGTGCCTGTAATCCCCCGCCGTGTTCACCCAGCTTTAACTGCCCATTATTATCCCAGCATCTCCCTCCTCAGCCTCACCGCTCGGGCTGCACGTCCTCCGGCAGCGCAGTTGGAGTTATCTGCTCCGTACCCTCAAAAGGGAACAGAGGAAGACTCGCTCGCGGTGGTCGTCTGCATCAGCTCCGACCGGCTTTCTAATAGAGCCAGAGCTGTTGAAGTGTCACCGAGAGTTGATAAGTGTCTGTCAGAATGCTTGGCAAGGGTGCAGGAGGAATGCTGTCGCCATAGTGTGGATGAAAGCAGCTGATGTCTCTGTTATAGACACAACTGTTGTTTGAGAAAAGATTGTTTTTCTCTGACAGGTGTTGAGATCAGTGGGATTTAATTGTTGCATTTTGTCATAGACCATGGATTAGGAGTGAACTAATATCACCCTTAAAGTGAAAGAATCTGGAGTGATCCACCACAGAGCAGGTTCCAAAGGATCTGGACCTGGTTTTTGACTTTATTCTCAGCCTTTATGGCTTACATCTGCTTCACTAAAATACAGAACATAATGAAAAACAAATATCCACATTGAGTCAAAAGCATGAGTCAAAAACATCAAACATTTCTGGGTCAAAAAATGATAAAGATCTGAAATATGATCAGCTAAACTAATAGGAAACATGTTAAACTTTAAGCTTGAGTAAATAATGGAATTTCAGGCAAGTCTGACTTGGCCAGGTGTGGTACTGACTTATATAAACTCCTTTTTGTCTCCAGGGGCTTTATTTTGGTCAAATGTATTCAGCATCTTCTTTTTAGTAGAAGTAGCAGTATTAGTAGTAGTGTAATAACAGAAGTAAATGGACTTTTGGACGATATTCTAACTTTCTGGGTTTCCAATTCAAAGTTGCATCCCTACTTTCAGTATATGCATAATTAATCATACCCTGAGTGTAGTATCATCGGTATGAGCAGTGCGTGGGAGGAGCACAAACATATTTTCATAAAGATTAGTATTATGTTCATGTAGATATGATTTTGACTATTGCTTCATCAGATTGGATCAGATTTTGGACCCCTTGGGCTGAGTTAAGTTAAATTGTTTTGAAAAGTAATAATTTCACTACGGGCTTTCCTATTGGGCAGCATATACAGAAGGTTGTTGGCGGAGAAGAATTATGTAATTGCACCAAACAGCACTGGACTCGGGAAAGCCGTAGGCTCAGAACAGAAGCCTTTTTGGGGCATTTTTCCAACAGGGCTTTTATTGAATTATATGTTGCGCGCTCCACTGGCTTCTCTTTTAAGTATCTTGGCAGTATTGTGTCATTAGACCGTCTTTGTGGAGAGCGGCTGCATTTCTTTTTTGTTTAAATTAAGGGCATTGTAGAGTACCCCAATGTGGCAGTGAAAGTGAATGCAAAATGTCATTCTTTTATTTATTCAAAGCTTTAAAAAACAGGTCACTGGAAACATCTTTGCATACAGCCCATGTTTTATTGTGCTCACTACGTAGAACTTTAGGGTTTTCTCGTGAAATCCCCAAGGTAGGTTTCAGGAAGGAAAAATCATCATTCTGTATCAGATGGAGAATACTAACCCAAGAGCCCAATGAAGCCTAATAGGAAAGGGCTCATGGACAAAGTTTTGCTTCAACTTATTGTGGCTCCTATTGACTTACTGCTTATGTCACACTCACTGTTTGGGGCTTAAAAAAAAAACTTGGTGGGGTAGCGCTCACACTGATCTTGGAGTTTATATTGATATTGTTTTTGTAAATTCGAGATCGACTACTCAGACGCCTTCATTCCCCGGGGATCCTCCAGCTTGCTTTAGGAACTGTCTTAGCAATACGGCTGTCCCTGATACTGCGTGAAGCTAATGAATGTTCAGATAGATCTCTTCCACATTAAGTTTGTGTAAGCTCTCAGTCATACAGGGATTAGTCAAAGCAAAGGAAGGTTTCTCACCCATCATCTGTACTTCTTAGCAAGTTTTCCCGACGTTTCGTCCTCAACCTAGCGGACTTCTTCAGGGAATGAATTCTCGGACTGCGGTTATAAATCTCCAACGCGCAGTCCGAGAATTCATTCCCTGAAGAAGTCCGCTAGGTTGAGGACGAAACGTCGGGAAAACTTGCTAAGAAGTACAGATGATGGGTGAGAAACCTTCCTTTGCTCTTCCACATTAAGGCTAACAGAATGGCGACATCAGCACTCGGTCAGTCCACGCATATTATACGGTCTTTGATCCCTGAGTTTTGATTTTTGTTTGTTTGATGACACTGCAGAGTGGAGCCTGGAACTCCTCAGCTGGGCAGCACAGTGGCTGAGTGGATAGCACTCTCGCTTCTCAGCATTCAGCTCCTGGGTTCAAATCCCAGTCGGAACAGGGTGTGGAGTGGAGTGAGTGGAGTTTGTATGTTCTCCCAGTGTCTACGTAGGTTTCCTCCGGCTTCCCCTACCACTTAAAACATGAATGAATGAATGAATGAATGAAATATTTATTTCAAAACCTGCACACATAATTTTACAGAAAACAAAACAAAAGCAAAAACACGTACAGGGATTGAAAAGGGGTTGGAGGAAGCAAAATGCTTATACATGCACTATAGGTCTGGCATGCACCTCCTGTATGGCAACCTCGCTCCTATCTCTGTGTGGAGAGAGAGACCCACAACTATTGTAAAGTGCTTCGTGACCTGTGAAAGGTGCTATACTTACTTACTAGCTCTGCCTGTGAAAGTGGATCTCAATGGGACAGTTTAAACTCAAACAAACCTTAGACATGGATCAAAGTGTGCAGTCATTAAGCACATTGTGAATAATTGTGTGTTGATATATCAAACAAAAGTTCCTAACTGTTTACCAGTTGTGTTCTGAAGCTGTCACAACTACTTTGAGCCAAACAGAGCACAGACACCTCTGTTTTAAGCCGCAGGATTAAACATTTTTACAAGAGGGTGAAAAGCAGGAGTTGTCGCACGCACCAACAATGAAATGTCAAAGTTCTCTGCAGGAATATGACAGCTTAGTATTTTTTCAAACACTGCACTCAAAGGGCTTGGAACCGAGCCTCATGCACATTTTTCCCTGTGAAGTCTTTCCAAACGGCGCGCGCTTGTTCTAAAGAAAGACGGCAAATATATAGTTACTGGTCAAACCGCGGCTTTGTTCGTGATTCTCTGGAGATGCTTTGTGAGAGAGATGAGCGAGGCCTATAGCCATTTCTGCTCTTGTCAGTAGAGTTATCCCCCAGCGGTGTTCGGCGCTCACTTTGGAGGAGGGCTGCCTTCACTCGCACACACGCCATCGGAAACTTCAAACAAGGAAAAAGAGAACAGCCAATGGTTTTTTTTTCTTCTTCTTACAATTACTTCTTTGGCGTCGAAGCGGAGAAATGCGATACATGGAAAGCCCCGAGTGAAAGCAGACTTGAGCCGTGCATGTAAATAGGACAAAAGGAGAGTTTCCCAGACTTTTGTGTTAAGCGGAGATGTGTTTGTGAAGCATTGGATAAAAAGGTCAAAACTCTAAAACCGCAAATGTAGCCTGTGGCCACTGAAATACTGTAAATGTAAAACAGGAGTTGGTAGAAGCGATCTGCGTGCGTATTAGCTGGCAGATCAATAAGCATTGATGGGTATGTTAATTGTAATCTTTATTGTAATCTTTATTTATATATACCGCCTTTTCACTGCACATCGGAGTCTCAAAGCGGTTTACAATTGTTATTTTTGGGAGTGGGGGTGCCAGTACAGGAGGCACATGCCAGACCTATTGTACATATTTTTAGTGGTAGGGGAAACCGGAGCACCCGGAGGAAACCTACGCAGACACGGGGAGAACATGCAAACTCCACTCAGAAAGGCCCTGGTCCAACCGGGATTCGAACCCAGGACCTTCTTGTTGAGAGGCGAGAGTGCTATCCACTCAGCCACCGTGCCGCCTAATTTGCTCTTAAGAAAACAAAATGGACTCTCCAAAAGGCTGTCCCATTGATTGGTGGCTCTGTGTGTGTGTGATAATGTGTGTTTGCACTGGAATGTATTGTATTTTATGAATGTTTGTGTTTTAATGCGTGAAGCTCATTCTAACTTCTGAAGCGGCTTGTGAGTCAATCTCTCTGAGGGGCGCTCTATGAATAAAGGTTACTTACTTACAAAAGTTTATTGGCTTCTCAAAATGTTATTTATTTGAAATTATGTACACATCTATAAACTAAAAACATGCACAATAGGTGAAATCCTCCAGTTTTGGTAATCCTGACCGTTGACCTAGCTAAGCATCAACATCTGCAGACGGGCTCCTGACGCTGTAGTTTGGAGAACACTGCCCCTGCAGACGTCCTTGTGGCAGTCAGGATGGGTCCAATAAGGACTGATTATTGTTATTGGCTCTAACCATTATTATGCCATTATTCTTTTTTTGTTTAAGAACAGTCCCACACCTTATATATCGCTGATAACTGTAACTCGCACCCTACTGGACTGTGTTTTAATATATATTTTGGTAACTTGAACTTTTATTGAACTGTATATTAATATGCAAGTTATATTATTGTATTGTCAAGGACTGCAGATAGAAAGTAGCTTGCTGCTAAATCTGGTGCAGACATCTTTTTTTTGTCCTTTATAAATTAAACTTTGGAGCTAATTTTCAATTATTATGATGCATTTGAGACATTGATCTTGTATGTTGTTACGGCTATGAAGGCGTGTTATACCTCATTTTAATGCGTTATCTCAAAAAGACAGAAGGGACAGAGTTATATGTTTGTGGCAGAAGTCTCTGGTAGATGTGTGGATGAATCTAAAACCAGCTCCAGGTCTGTTTTTGATGAGGAACAATGTTGTAACATGGTTGAATATTCAAGAATGACTGAAATTAACTTAAGTGACAATATTTTTTGATTCAAATGTTTAGACAGGATAGTGGAGTTTGCATGTTCTCCCCGTGTCTGCGTAGGTTTCCCCTACCACTAAAAACATGTACAATAGTCTCAGGATTCCCCTGAAAAATAAATTCTGAAATATCAATGGAACTTTCCTGGTTGAATAAATGTAAATAAATCTGTAAAGCAGTGAACCAGACTCGGCCCAGTTTATGTGAACTTATGTGATTGCGGTCTTATAAAACAGTTTTTTGCCACTCTAAACTAGACTTTCTCAAAGCCTGGCTGTGTGAATTTTTTCTTTTCTCCAAAATATAAAGCATTCTGAAGCTTTCTGTCTTACTAGTCAACACAGCCATTGAAAGCACACAACACGACTTTGATCTCATGTTGTGGAGATGACGCGTTCCAACAGCGGTGCTTCCCACAGCCCAACAGGGGGTCCCCATCCCTCTCCCTTCACTTCCCCTTTTGGCCCTGCTGTAATCGTGATCAAAGCCCCCACACCTATCCCCCGGAAGCACCACACTGTCCTGGTTTTGTTGCCCCATCGGCGGGCCCTGTGGGCAGGTAACCAGAGCAGAGGGGGAGGGGTTTGACACTGGGCAGATGTATCGACCCAGGAAAAAAGAGCTACTGTTTACAGCCGCAAATGACTTAATGGCGCGCTACTGTCTCCGGTAGACTTGCATATTGTGGCTTACATAACATGGATCTTTTATGACACTTTTGACACAATTATGTTAAACCTGAGCTTGTCATTACAACAGTCTGCAGAAGTCAATGATGTTCCACTTGATGTTTTGTTTATCATGTCCGCTGGGGGGAAGTGGAGAGGTCACACGGCTGTCGCGCTGCCGTTTTATTCCGCTCTGGAGGCTGTTTTTCAAAGCTTGCATTTTCACCCTCGTGAAACATCGACGTTGTGTGAACAAATGGCCAATCCACTACTCAACTCTATAAACACCGCCTCACGTATCTATTAGGGCCATGCTTAAAGGAGTGTCCATAGTCTTCTATAACACCAAATGCATGCTGCAAAACTCATGTTATTTTAAGGAACATATATAATCCTGTACTTGCTCCTTTCTCATGAGCAAGAATCAGTTACATTTGTGGATGCACCTGAAAACAACTCTAGGTCTGTGCTTGATGTGGGAACAATGTTTGTTAAAAGTTTAAAAAGAAACACATTTTCATGCTTTAAATATTTGTCTTGATGCTTCACATTGATATTCTTTGCTTCTTTAGACAATAATACTGAACAATGTGAAGCCTTTGAACCACATAAACTACCTCCAATCTTTGGCTTTTCAAAATACCTCTATGTATGCGGGTTATGTACAGTTTCCAATTCTCTCCATGACCATCAAAACCCTCTTGTATTTTTGCTGTGGACTGGCTAACGTGGCGTCTGTCCATCTAACGCGCCACTGGGCTCAAAAGGACAGCTCCAGCATCAGACACGGAGCAGTGCTTGGGGAATGTAAACCTGTCCTGATCCATGCTCCGCTGCACGCCCGTCCCGCCGGCCGCCTTCATGGATGAATTCCGAGCAGAAATTCTAACCACGGAATAGCACACGTCCTTCTGCGCGCGGAGGTTAACCACAGCATGTGCAGGCGTCTCTGTTATAGATACAGTTGGTTCTGTTCAAAGATGTGAGGGCAGATGGGACAGCCTTGTCTCACTCAGGGTCATGGTGTGGACTTTTTAAATTACTTTGACCTGGTTTTTAGTTTTTTATAGATAGATTCTCTTGCAATTTGAGTTATGCCCCCTGTTCAGTCCTGTTGATGGTTTGTCCCACCCTTATGTGTTACATCTGCGTCTCCCTGTGTGTTTTTATACCGTTCTTTTCTCCACTTTTTGTCCGTCCATTGTCTACATACCGACTTCGTTCTTCTGGAATTTTGGGTTTTATTGTTATCATGGATGGTATTGGATTTTATCACATTTCAGTCTTTCAATTTGTGTTTTAAATATGTTTTAATTTACCCATGTGACAACTAGGACAACAAGGCCTGCATCTAAATGATTTTCAATTATTATTATTGACTCCACAGAATTGTTGGTGAGAGGAACCATGGCATGTTACAGCTCAAGAAATCAACCACATACTTTAATTTTTGGATATTATTTGAACCCAACACATCAATAGGAATAGTTCAATCGAAAAAAATCATTGTCAAGTCAGTCTAGAATTACAAGCCTTTGTTATCATTACCTCAGTTTTGAGTCAGTCCAAACAAACAGTAATTGAACTCCTCTAGTTTTTTCCCTATATACCCTTTGAATTTCTCCATTGTGGGCGGCACGGTGGCTGAGTGGATAGCACTCTCGCCTCTCAGCAAGAAGGTCCTGGGTTCGAATCCCGGTCGGACCAGGGCCTTTCTGAGTGGAGTTTGCATGTTCTCCCCGTGTCTGCGTAGGTTTCCTCCGGGTACTCCGGTTTCCCCTACCACTAAAAATATGTCCAATAGGCATATCTGGCATGCGCCTCCTGTACTGGCGACCCAGCTCCATCTCTGTGTGGAGTGAGAGATAAATGCCCATAATTAGCAATTGTAAACCGCTTTGAGACTCAGATCTGCAGTGAAAAGGCGGTATATAAATAAAGATTACTACTACTACTACTAAATAAATTGTGAGATTAATAAAGTATATCTCATCTCATAACTTATAACAAAATATCCACAGATGCAAAATATATGCTTTAAACAATCTTTCCGCTAAGAAAGCCACTTCTATACTTTGGGTCCTTTGACCAAAATGTACACCCCTGATCTACGGTATCTGTTTGACATTTACTTAACATCATTCAGAATAAAGGGAGAATAACACACATCTTATAAAAATGAGTCTCAACTATCACTGTTGTAGATTTAAGGTCACACATGACAGTGAAGGGAATGAAAGTGATGCAACTGAAGATCACCTTGAGAAATATGTTCTGTATAGTTTTTCATTTTTCTACGTGCTTTGCTTTAAGAACAATTTCTCCAATTACACCAATCTATTCAAGTCGGGGGAGAAAAGTTCCAGCTTAATAACATGGGACTGCTTTAACTATAAAAGCAACACTTCATCTGAACAAATTGGTAGATCATCAGAAGGTCAACGTCTCTCAGAATTTGTCATTGAAAGCAGCCTCTACACCTTCTACCAGCATGCATTGCAGAGTCTTGTGGAGGTGTTACAAACTACCTCCCACTTTCTCTGCTGCTATGCAAAGATTCCACAGGAGGCCTCTGGAGCCCCTTCGCTCTCACCCCATCCCCCTTTTCAGCTCCAGCAGAACAGAGCCACAGAGCCAAGCCAAGTGCAGAAGTGGAAGGAAAAAGGACTGATTAAAAGCCTTAGACTTCTAGCATTGGGGTAAACACACCCACTCTTTTTTACAAGAAGCAGAATAACAGACGGGGAGCTGGCCTTGGATGAAGTTTGCAATTGCATGAAAATTTGCAAAAAAGGGAAGAAGAAGGACGGACAACTCTTCTCTCAAAGTGTTTATACATTTGAGCCGTGTTTATTTAACAATGGACCGTTTTAGTGTTATGACTAAGTTCCCCGGTCGGTTCCTCACTGTCAGAAATCTCCAGGGAAACATATAAATAGTTTTCTGAAGAATATATTGCATGCATTATTTTTAGCCATAAAAATGTATAATGGGACTATTTTATAATTTCATGTTTTATAATGTGAAATAATATTTTCAGTAGAAAATAAATGGTGAAGGGTGAACATTGCCATCAGCCTGCCCTGCCCCTGTGCTCCCACCAGAGGGAGGAGAGAAAGTTTTTGTTTTTTGCTGCAAACACATGTGAGATTTCATGATACTTTGAAGCAACTATTGTTAAAGTTCTAACTTCATTCTTACATATGCAGAAGCCTGTACTTTTCCACTTGATGTTTTGTCTTTCTGAAGGCCAAGCTACATCACACTGTGGCAGCTGCTGATTGGAGGTCTCTGTTTCTCCTGAGTATATCACCACTTTCTGTCTAACATACTTTGTTCGTGCGTCCGCCATCAACAATAAAACATGTCGTCTGTCTGAATTAAAGACACGATCCCAGACTTTGCCATCTTCTTCACACAGAAATATGATTGTACAGAGTGCAATAATGTCATTTCTCCTGAGAAAATTCCAATATTAATTGATGAGCAACACTTTTGTTTTAAAAGGCTGAAAACTCTCTGAGCGTGACGTCATAGTGGTACAATGACATCACACTGTTGCAGGACTAATCCTGTTCCTGTGATCTCAGCAACTCTTAAGTTCTGCCTTTCCACTTCCACTCTGCTCAAATGAGAAACTGGTGCCCAAGTTTGCGCCACTGTGACACGTCTGAGATCGTGATTAGAAGATTGATTACATTTATAACCCAGAGTTTCCAGGTTTGCAGAAGAAACAAATGTTACATGTGGGTGACATTGATGTGGATAGATCAAAAAACAGCTCCAGGTTTGTTTTTTGATGACGGAACAATGGTTTAATATGGTTAAAAGCTGTCCGGCTTTGTTAATTCATAAAGACTTTAAATTTCCCAGTTTCATTACAAGCAAGAACAGGCCATGAACTAGAGTCTAGAATAACTCGCCAACCGCTCATTTTCTTCCCAAGTGTTTACCATCAAAATGTTTCTATTTTCTTTAAATTAGTCTTGGGTTGTCCTGCAAATACTCTGAGTGCTATGTAATATATGCTTTAATAGTATCCAGGATGGGTTTGCTCAGTTGGACTCACCTTTAAAGCGTGTTAAAAACCATGTCCAAACAAAGTGAGTTATAGTTATTGAGCTGTAAAAGTGCGAATGAAGGATGGTTTGTACGTGTAGCAGCAGGGATCGAGGATTTATGGTTCTGAAAAATGTTGGAGGCTAAATATGAGATGTAGCGAAGAAGGAAATGTTAGCTGGTGTGTGACAGCATGGTCCGGGAATTGAACCCATGGGGCTTTCTGTGGGAAATTAAGCTCTCCATGTTTTGTTGGATGCTCTGGGGTTCAAGAGGCCAATCTTTCAGCAGATAGTTTATTCTTGCCAATGTCCAACAAGACTGATGTTGACCTGTCTACAGCAATCTCCTGATTATCAAAGGAGACATACTTTGCCAAATTACATTTTTGAGCTTTTAACCATGTCTTCGTAAGTTTAGAGGGACATATCACATAAAATAAGATTTTAATCACTATCTAAAGTATAGCATTTATATTTTGCTTGCCAAATGTCAAAAGTTACTTGCCCAAATATTTCTCAATAGTTGACAAGAGTTTGGCTTTGAAGTAGGACTAACTGTGTGGAAAAAATATCAAAAAATGCTCTCTCAGCCCAAAAAGTAAAAAAATGACAAGGCTCTTAAGTCTGCAAAATAAAAATAAAAACAAGCCGCCTTTTGTGGTGTGTTCTGTTTGATTGGTTCTCAACATTTTACTTTTGTGCATAACCGACATGCATTGTCAATGCAAGGGAAAATGTACCCTAGCTTTAATTTAGTGAGTTTTGGTTGGTTTGGTTTTGGCGCTTCATAGGAGACACGGGGGAGACCCGCACTTGTTACATGCTTGGGGGTGGTCCTGTCCGTGCATGTATGATCCACGCTCGGTACATTATGACCACGTTACGGCTGTGCTTTCGCTGAGCTGTTGTCAAAGCGACTCACAGGAACCACTGTCATTACAAAGTGGCAGCAGCTGCCCCGGGGTCAGAACGGAGGATGTGGAATCCCGGTCAAGTACGTACAGCAAAAAACTACTCCCACATTGCACAGAATTGTCCCAGTGATTGCTGTTGGTCCTGGTTCGTTGGAGCCAACAGGACGACATTGTCCGCAAACAACGAGATGAAATCCTGTGGTCTCCAAACTAGACCCTCTCTGGCCCCTGGCTGCGCCTAGAAATTCTGTCCATAAAGACAGTGAACAGAACCGGTGACAAAGGGCAGCCCTGTCGGAGGCCAACATGCACCGGGAACAGGTCTGACTTACTGCTGATGCGAACACAGCTCTGACTCCGGTCATACAGGGACCAAACGGCCCTCAGCAGAGGACCGCGGACCCCGTACTCCCGGAAAACCTGGACAAGGTGAAAAGAAATACAAAATCTACAAAATTTCTTAAAATGACTGCTATATACAAGTGCACTAAGTACTAAGTAGGCATGACCTAAAGACAGCGATCCATGGCAGACAGCCCAGTAATCTGACTGAACTGCAGCAGTTTTGTAAAGAGGAATGGTCAAAAATGGCTCCTGATCTATGTGCCAGACTGATCTGCAACTGCAGGAAGCGTCTGGTGGAAGTTATTGAAGGAACCAGCTGTTAAATATGATGGTTCAGTTACTTATTCCTCCTGCTAATGTCATAAATATTTTACAAACATCATAAAGATTATGTACAACTTGTTTTTTAGTTGAAGGAGACAGTATTTTCAGATCAGATCAGATGATGGTGATAATGTGGAAATATGAGAGTTTGAAAATGCTTCAGATACTTTTTCAAGCCACTGTAACATATTATATATATTTTAAAGGAAGGACATATAA